CCCTCAGTATCCATGGGGGTGGGGGTGAGGGTAGGGATCATATACAGATCCCCAAATCTGAGGATATTCAAGTTCTTTATATAAAATGGTATAGAACAATTCACACAGTTGGCATCGTGTATTCTCAACTGTGGACTAGAAATACTGTTTTTGATCTATGGTTGGTTGAATACTCAGATGCAAAACGGGATTCAGAAGGCCACATGTATATTTATTGAAATAAATCCGAGTATATGAGGATCCATGCAGTTCAAACCCATGTTGTTCAAAGGTCAACTGTATGTGTGTGTGTGTGTGTGCGTGTGTGTGTATAAAAATCTTTTTTTTTTTTTTTTTTGGTACGTGCCCCTAGCTGCTAGGGCCTAGCAGAAACCAAACCCGGGACTCTCTGGTCCGTAGGCCGATGCTCCAACTGCTGAGCCAAACCAGCCAAGGCTCAACTGTATATATTTTTGAATGAGGAGTTTAAAAAAAGCTACAGCCCTGGCCAGTTTGGCTCAGCGGTTAGAGCGTCGGCCTGCGGTCCGGAGAGACCCGGGTTCGGTTCCCGCTAAGGGCACGTACTTCGGTTGCAGTTTGTCCCCGGCCCTGGTTGGTCGTGCGGGTGGCAGCCACTCGATGTGTCCCTTCACGTCGATGTTTCTCTCTCTCTCCCTTCCTCTCTCTCCCTCCCACTCTATCTGTACAAAAAGAAAAAATATCCTCGGGTGAGGATAAAAAAAAAAAAAAAAAAAAAAAAGCTACAGATCTCTTTTGACCTTTTCTTTTTTTTTTTATCCTCACCCGAGGGCATTTTTCCATTTTTTGTACAGATAGAGTGGGAGGGAGAGAGAGAGAGAAACATCAACGTGAAAGGGACACATCGAGTGGCTGCCACCCGCACGACCAACCAGGGCCGGGGACAAACTGCAACCGAAGTACGTGCCCTTAGCGGGAACCGAACCCGGGTCTCTCCAGACCGCAGGCCGACGCTCTAACCGCTGAGCCAAACCGGCCAGGGCTCTTTTGACCTTTTCTGCCAGACTGTCTCTCTCTGGATTAGGAAGAATACATCCTTAAGGAAGCCTGATCTTTGGGTTGGGCCTCTCAATTTTCCCAGGCCCCACCTAGGTGAAAAACACACCCTGTCTGAAAATCTAGCTTCTTTAAAATCCTTGGTAAAGTTTTGGAGAGAATTCCTATACAAGGCTATCACTTTTGCTTCTGAACAGAGTTCATAGTTCATTCAGAAAAAAATTTTATTCTGGTTGCAAGTTGTTGAATCATATACAAAAATCTCAATCTGTCCTTAAAATACGCACAGCTATCCACAGGACTTTTTACACTGGTGTACATTTTTTCCAAACCATTAGAGTCTCTGGTCCATAAGACCATCCATCTATTTTTGAGTCCCAAATCTGAGCCTAAACCAAAACCCCCAAGAAGTCAGTGAATATGTAAATATTCTCAATCTCTAGCCAGCATTAGGAACAATGCATACTCCCAGGGTTGAGGAGACAGCAGGACTAACTCAGAGGACACAGACCCAGAAAGAAGAGTCATAGTTCCTCCATAAAGTCACAGGTCTCCAGATAACATAGGGCTCATTTGATGCCACACTTCCCCCACTAAGGTTCATTTTCTTAGATGCTTCCTGATGTTTATATGCTTATTCATTGAATGTGAAAATAATCATGTTGCTGAAAATCCTTGTAACATATGTTTGAATGCCTTAAATAAAAGGCTCTATATTAATAAAATTCTAGAGTTCAACTCAATAAAAAGTGTTGCTAGATCTAGGACCAGGTGGCCAACTTCAGGTCAGGCCCCTGTCTATAAACCCCCCCTCCCCGTGTGGTCTAGCACTTTGTTTTGTGTTTAGTAGGATTAAGGTGTTTTGGATTAAGATCTTGATATAAACACAAACATAGCTACATATACAAAACAAAAGTGACTTTCATGTCGAGTTCAAGGTAAAAGTTTTAGGCAGAAGTGATTGAGACAACACTAAGCCTAGATACACTCTAGGAAAAGAGTATTAGCCCAGGTATGCCCCAGAATTGTGACACTTAATGCTACCGCACATCTGGAATTATCTGGATGACTGACATTACAGTCTATTATTTCAGAAAGTTTTTAAAAATCTATGAGCCCCACACCATGTGTAATGTGGGTGAGGCAACTTGTGAGAATGTTTGCTTCTGCATTTCCTGATTTAGGAAGAGGTGGCTGGGGTCTAAAATGTCTTATGCCTGTTAGTGGTTCTGTATGTACTTGGTTTAGTACGAGTTTCTTGGGCGAAAGAGAAGTGGTCAAAAAAAAAAGTTATCAATTTCATATGCTGAACATGGAACCTATTCGAAATCTTGGTAGGTCCTCAAAGAACCAATAAAACCATTTTCCATTTTTGAGAGCTAAATCAGGTTGTTTTGTATCTTGTTGTGTGGATCCATAAATTCATTAAACATATAGAGGGTTGCCCTGGCCAGTTTTGCTCAGTGGTTAGAGTGTGGGCTGGTGAACCAAGTGGTCACAGGTTCGATTCCTGGTCAAAGGCATGTACCTGTGTTTTGGGTTTGGTTCTAGGCCAGTCGGGATAGTTTGGGAGGCAACCAATTGATGTCTCTCTCTCACATCCATGTCTCTCTCTCTCTCTCTCCCTCCATCCCTTCTACTTTATCTAAAAAAAAAATCAGTGGAGCCATGCCTGCATGGCTCAGTGGAATGACCTCCGTCCCACAGACTGAGAGGTCCTGGTTCGATTCCCAGTCAGGGCACATGTCTGGGTTGTGGGTTTGATGCCCAGTGTGTGTGTGTGTGGGGGGGGCGTGCAGGAGGCAGCCGATGGATGTTTCTCCCTCATATCGATGTTTCTATCTCCTTCTCCCTTCCTTTCTCTCTAAAATATCAATAAAAAAAAAACACACATATTTTTAAAAATCACTGGAAAAACATCCTTAGATGAGGATTAACAACAGCAGCAGCCCTGGCCGGTTTGGCTCAGTAGTTAGAGCGTCGGCCTGCGGTCCAGAGACCTGGGTTTGGTTCCTGCTAGGGGCACGTATCTTGGTTGCAGTTTTTCCCTCGTCCTGGTTGGGTCGTGTGGGTGGCATCCACTCGATGTGTACCTTTCACATCCATGTTTCTCTCTCTCTCTTCCTCTCTCTCCCTCCCACTCTATCTGAACAAAAAATGGAAAAATGTCCTCGGGTGAGGATGAAAAACAACAACAATAAAAAGAAGGTAGTTTTCTCTGACTCAAAAATTCTTGGTTTGGGGGTAGTTAGCATGAATCTCTGAAACCCTATCCTCTGTGTGGGCATTTAAGACCCAGGAGCCGCATTTTAGATGAGAACATTGCCCTGGTTCCATAAAACACAGTTTATAAACCCACAAACATTTGCTGGAGCACCATAACCAAGTCCAATAGTTATTCTAGTTTATAAAGAAGTAAATCTGTGTTAGCACATACAAATATATTGACTATCAGCATAATTGGGCCATACAGTTTATATACAGTTTAAGAGGCTGATGAGAAAGAAAAGGTCATAAAACGAGGCTGCTGCCTTCTAAGTAGGAAGCAGGCTGAGTATGTGCCTGGGATGGGCAGCACTCCGACAGTTCACAGCTCAGCAGCAAGTGCAGAAGTGTAGGGGGGTTTTGATGTATAAAGTACCAAGGGGGACACGCTCACATTGGTGTCTGGAAACACCCAGAACATGCTAGAAGGAAGTAGTAATAAGCTTAGAATGAGGACTGGAGAGGGTCCGTGTTAAGCTAAGGTATGGATAAATACAGCTGAGTTTCGCTATAATTTAGGGCCAAGACAGGAGAGAAAGGAATCGTAAACTACCCCATTCGGGTGAATTGAGCGTGTGATAACAGAGACGTGTTAAGGGGCATTAGGGACAGTAAAAAAAAAAAAAAAGGAAGGAGAGTCGGGGTGATGATTATTGAGTACTACCACTGGGAGGAGGGTCTTGCAGGGATAATAAAGGGAGAAAGGTGTGAAGTAAGGGTCAGGAATTGTCGGGTAAACGATGGGAAAACACTGTGCAGACGTCAGCAGCAAAGAAAAGAGAAGGCGCAGGGTTGGGGCGTGGCCCAGAAAGGGAATGGCTCAATAGCGGGCTGTGGGGTGAAAAGGAGAAGGGTGGGGAAGAGCCGTGCTGACAGCCGCCCTCAGATGGTGCCTATAGGGTTAAAACTCCGGGGCGGCGAGGAGAGGCAGAACTCGGTTTCCAGGGTAACGGCTCCGACAGTTCCGGCAGCGCAGGCTCGTACCACTGCGCGCCGCGCGCGGGGGGAGCGCGAGGGGAGCGCGAGGGGCGGAGGGCCGAGCGCAGGAGCGGCGGAGCCGAGGGTACGTCCCGGACGCTACCAACCGCGCCGCCCGCCTGCTCGCCCCAGGGTCTGCGCCGAGCCGCGCTCCGGCCGCCCGGCCGCCGCGTCTTCCGTGCCGGGCCGGCAGCTCCCAACTGCCCGCGGACGGCGGGGGGGAAGGAACGTGCGCCCGGTGGCCCGGAGTGGCCTCCTGGTCCCCCCGCCTGGGCGGCGGAGTGCGGGCGGCCCGGGCTGGGAGGTTTGAAAAGCGGGCGAGAGACAAAGGCAGCAGGAAGCCTCCACGGCGCCCGGAGCCCGTGCGCGCAGCCCCCGGGGCCCTTCGCGGCCCGCCGACCGGAGCGGCAGCGGCAGCGGCAGCGGCGGCGGTGGCAGTGGCAGTGGCAGTGGCAGGAGGCGGAGGATGCGGCAGGGGGCGTGGGAGCGGAGGCGGCGCGGGCGGAGCAGCGCGGCCCGAGCGCGGCGTGGTTAGACCCCAGGCGGCGGTGCGGCGGCGGCGGCCCGGCCGGCTCGGGAGTGAGTGAGGGGCGCCTTCTCCGCCCGGGATGTGAGGACCGAGCGGAGCCCGGGGCGGGGGGAGGGAAGGGAAGGGAGGCGAAGCCGGCAGGAAGGAAGGAAGGACGGACGGACCAGGAGGAGGAGCGGCGGCGGAGGCCGGAGCCGGAAGGCGGGGAGGGGCCGTCCGTTGGGCCCCAGGCAGCGGCGGCGGCGGTCAGGGCGAACCGCTCTAGTCGCCTCCTCCCCCCCGGCTCCGCGGAGGGGGGAGGAGGAAGATGGAGACCCACATCTCGTGCTTGTTCCCCGAGCTGCTGGCCATGATCTTCGGCTACCTGGACGTCCGGGACAAGGGGCGCGCGGCGCAGGTGTGCACGGCCTGGCGGGACGCCGCCTACCACAAGTCGGTGTGGCGGGGGGTGGAGGCCAAGCTGCACCTGCGCCGGGCCAACCCGTCGCTGTTCCCCAGCCTGCAGGCCCGGGGCATCCGCCGGGTGCAGATCCTGAGCCTCCGCCGCAGCCTCAGCTACGTGATCCAGGGCATGGCTAACATCGAGAGCCTCAACCTGAGCGGCTGCTACAACCTCACCGACAACGGACTGGGCCACGCGTTCGTGCAGGAGATCAGCTCCCTGCGCGCCCTCAACCTGAGCCTCTGCAAGCAGATCACCGACAGCAGCCTGGGCCGCATAGCCCAGTACCTCAAGGGCCTGGAGGTGCTGGAGCTGGGGGGCTGCAGCAACATCACCAACACCGGCCTCCTGCTCATCGCCTGGGGCCTGCAGCGCCTCAAGAGCCTTAATCTCCGCAGCTGCCGCCACCTCTCGGATGTGGGCATCGGACACCTGGCCGGCATGACGCGAAGTGCTGCGGAGGGCTGCTTGGGCCTGGAGCAGCTCACGCTGCAGGACTGCCAGAAGCTCACCGATCTTTCTCTAAAGCACATCTCCCGGGGGCTGACGGGCCTGAGACTGCTCAACCTCAGCTTCTGCGGAGGCATCTCCGACGCGGGTCTCCTGCACCTGTCGCACATGGGCAGCCTTCGCAGCCTTAACCTGCGCTCCTGCGACAACATCAGTGACACGGGCATCATGCATCTAGCCATGGGCAGCTTGCGCCTCTCGGGGCTGGATGTGTCGTTCTGTGACAAGGTGGGGGACCAGAGTCTGGCTTACATAGCGCAGGGGCTGGACGGCCTCAAGTCCCTCTCCCTCTGCTCCTGCCACATCAGCGATGATGGCATCAACCGCATGGTCCGGCAGATGCACGGGCTGCGCACGCTCAACATTGGGCAGTGTGTGCGCATCACCGACAAGGGCCTGGAGCTGATTGCTGAGCACCTGAGCCAGCTCACTGGCATAGACCTGTATGGCTGTACCCGAATCACCAAGCGCGGCCTGGAGCGCATCACACAGCTGCCCTGCCTCAAGGTACTCAACCTGGGACTCTGGCAGATGACCGACAGTGAGAAGGTCAGGTGAGGGCGGCAGCACCAACTCCCCTTGTCCCGCCCTGTTCATCCTCCTGTCACCACCACCCTCCCTCCCCTCTCTCCACAGGCACACTAATAGGTAGATCATTGCAGTGGATGAGATGGGATAGTGACACGAAGCCTCAGGCTCATTTTGTCCTCCCTCCTCCAGCACCCCTGCCCACTACATGTCCATTCATTGCTTCTGGGGTTCCTCTGCTACCCCTACCGTACTTCCCTCTCTCTTTCCCTGAGGATGGAGAGAGGGACTCAGCTACTTACCCATCCACTTCTCTCTAATGGGGAATGGAGGGGCCGATTGAGCTACTGTATCCCCACTGCGTTGCATTTCAAAATGGGGTTGGGGTGGGGAGTAACTAGTCCTATGACCCTGGGGAGTTGAGGAAAATGTCTGCCTTCACTTAAGCTTTCATTTGAATACTGTGATCTGGTTTTTATTTTGAAATGTATGAAAGCAAACCCAACTACAACGGCCTTTTCACCCTTCTTCCACTTTGTAACTAATCCCAGTCTCTTCTCATCATTTCTTTTTACAGTACTCTGCTATTCATGCTCATTTCATTTATTGTCTTTTTTTTTTTCTTTTTTGAAAAGATTTGAAATCATGGTCCTTTTTTTTCTGCTGAATATAGTCTATATATTATATATATATAAAAATTTTATATATATATACATATATATATGTGTCTGGCTACCTCGTTTTAGTTTACTTTTTTCTCTGAAGCCCTGGAATTCTATAAGAGAGATATTTTGAGACTAAAACATTTTTGTGCCTAGACTGGAAAGATGTCCATCGGGTTTGTACGTCTTTTTTGTTTTGGCTTCTTCCCCAACCCTATCCATGCAGTATGCCCCACTTCCACATTTTGGCTATAATTATTTTTCTCCTTGTCCATTGGGATTTGAGGGCCCAACGATGTTCCTAAATCTTGACTTAATTTATAGCACAAGTGTGTGGGAGAAATGAGAGTTGAACTGTTTTGTTTGAGATGCAGATTGTCTTGAAAATTACTATTATATATGCAAATTATGCCCTACCCTCACCCTCTTCCAAGTTTCCTCACAAAAAAGGTCACACAGTGAGGCTTCCTGTTGGAAGCAGAGGAGCAGAGTTGGCCTACAGAGCCCCTGGGGCTGCAATGTGAAGGGGAGGAGACTGAAATTCATGTCTTATCTCTGTTCTGTTAATAAAATGGGAGTTTGTGGGTTTTTAAAAAATTCTGTTTCTAAATGGAGGAGTAGATGACTTTATTTTGGTGAGGGTTGGGACTTGTGGCTTTAAAAAAATTGCTTTCAGTGGGATGTATATTTTTGTTGGATTTTTTTGTTTGTTTTTTTAGAATCCTCCACAGCAACATTCGAGACCATGGAGTTAAAGAAACCCAGAGACCTTTATCAATTAATTGTACTGTTTGTGAATTTGTATAAATAATAACAAAGATCCTCTTAAAACGTTTATATTCTTACAGTAAAAGGTTAAACTGATATTTATATAATAAAAGAGGAAATATGAAGTATGTTTTTGAAAAAAAAACAAAAAACACCTTGTATCTGTGAATTATTTTGAAGGCAGTGTGTGTTTGGGTACATGCCAAAGTCAGAGGTGCTGTTTGTGTGCTTTCAAGTAAAGGAAAGAAGACATAGACCTCGGGGCGTGCTATGTGCTGTGAGTAAACTCACGGTTAAAAATTTATTCTGTATAAGGTTTACTACTGACATCTAAATGTTTTGTTTCTAGAAATATGGTTAGATTGGAGATTTATATAATTTTTGGTTTTCAACTGTCAACAAAATGGAAATGTAAAGCAACTGAACAAAATGAAACTTTTAAAAACCGGATTTGTAAGAGTCACAGTTTCCTCAGGGTAGCCAATTTTTCTTTGGGTGGAAATGACATCTAGGGGTAATGTTCAAAAAACAGGTCATGAGATATGGAAGTGGGGAAGAAAGACGGGTTTCTTTACACGGTGAGTGGGTGTGGGGAGGATGTGAAATGGTGAAGGCCGGAGGGAACTGAAGCCATTGTTCAGAAAAGTTAAAAGAGGGCTGTCCTTGCTTCCTTGCTGGCCAGCTCAGTCATGCATACTGAATCTCAGTGTGAGTGAGGGTCCTAGTGGAAGGGAGGAGGGCAGTTCAACCCCTCTTTTTAACATTCTCCTCCAGGCCTGGCTGTATTTGAGCACTTCGCTGGGGGATGGGGAGGTTGGCCAGGAGTTCTTGCACATTTGCATTTTAAGCACTTCCAACACTGAGGGTGAGGGTTCTCAGACTGTATTTAGGGGCAGATAAATGAAAACCAAGGATTCTAGCAAACCGTTCCCTTTGATAGACAATAACTAATTTGACACTGTGGCTGGGCTGTAGAGAAGGAAGAGTATAAATGCTCAAACAGTGAAGTTATTCATATTCCTGGGTTCACACAGGTCTTTCACAGTTGTTTCTGAAAAAAATTTTTTTAACGAAAAGGACTGATCCCAGCAACAACTGATAAGGGTAGTATAAAACTTTCCTGGATAAGCACCTCTTTCCAGGAAGAAAGCTAGAACTTAGGTTTCTCTTGGGATCTAAGATTGTTTTGTACAATGTCCAAGCTTTCTCCTTGAGCATATCACAAAAGCTGCATTGTTCCTTTTTGGAGAGCCATCATAATTGGGTCTAATTGAGCCTGACACTAGATCCATCTTCCTTTTCTTTGGGGAAGGTGTGGCTCTCTTTCTTCCCTCTTAGGTTACAGTACTTATTGCCGGAGGGGGGTGTGTGAACCCTAGTCAGAAGTATGGACTCCAAATTAGGGTCAGCTTTCTAATTTAGCATTTGACACTACTCTGGGTGAAGGTCACCCAAACTGTAGGTTCTTAAGACTGTTTTTCTTCCTCTAAGAGACTGCATGGTTATACAGATTGTCAATAAAAATTTGAGCACCTCCTAAGTCCTAGGCTCTGCGCTCCCAGTCTTCATTTTAATACCCCAAATAATCCTACCAACTGTAACTGGAAAGGTTTTATGCTTTTCTGTTTTGTTTGGTTTTTGCTTTAAAGGTTAAATACAAGCTTGACTAAAGGTTAGTAAATTAATGTTTGAAAGTTAAAGATCATGAACCTAGTGTCCTCATTCTGAACTGGGCATACGTAATTTATTTGGAGTGTCTCTGGAAAAGATGAATACATCACTTTCATCAGTCAGGGTTAACTTCTCATCTCTCAACCTTTTTGGATAGAAGGAAAGGAATATGTGTTGAGAACCTATAGTATACTTCATTTTTTAAATGTGTTTTTATTGATTTTTTTAGTGGGAGAGGAAGGGTGAGGGAGAGAAACATCCATGTGAGAGAGAAACATCGATTGGCTGCCTCCTGCACGCCCCCACTGGGGGTCGAACTGGGACCTCTCAGTCCCTAAAATGACACTCAGCCCACTGAGCCACACCGGCTGGGCTATAATGTGCTTTGAATGATACTTGTAAATTTCTCCTTGTAGTCCTCAAAACAACCTGCTGAAACAGGTATCTTATTTTCCAGATAAAGCATACTCCCCATAAGTCACCCTGCCACTTGTTGAGGGGAGTCAGAACTCAAACCAGGTCCATTTCTGAAGTTCAGCTCCCTTCTGCTCTATGAGAAGGTTCAGTTATTGATCATACCTGCCTTGGTTTCCAGTAAGGCAACCTCACGGGTGAAGCAGTTTAAATAGTGTGGACAAGTTTATGCTGCAAGGCATGTGGGGGAGGGGGGAAGGGGCGGTCAATCTCCACCAGACCTACAAGCATGGAAAATGCTTTTAAAGAAAATGAGTTGATACATATTTTATGGATGTTACAAAAGTTAAAAGTCACTTATGGGCAATTTTTAGAATAACAGAAAAAAACCTAGTTCAGGTATTTGCTAAAACTTCTGAACTAAAAAACCAAAATAGGAAGACTGTAAACTTGATCACCTAAAAGTAATAAACCTCAAGAGAAACTCTTTGGGTAGTAGTTAAGACAGAGCTCCACATACCTTTCTTTTCTAAGTCTCATCGGGCAGTAGCCCTATAAGGTCTGTACTGAAAAGATTATTTATAAATGCAACTGTGGGGTTCAGACAGTTTCTCAGCCCCTAAGGACCACGGTGGGCCTCTAGCTAAGAGATCTGGGCGTCGTTACATAACTCTCCCTGCTATGGACTCCTTCCTGCTGAATTCCTCAGTCCTAAGGCGGGGGAGGACCCACTTGATTGATTCCACATTTGGCAACAGCGACAAGGATGCTTGCCTAACTTAGTACATCCTTACATAGTTAAGGAAATTCAAACTGATATATTCTTTCATGATTGAAATCAACAACAAGAATCTGAAAAGGCAAATGTTCCTTTTAATGGAGTTTCTTTTTCAAGGTAAGAATTTTCTTCAATAAGGACATACGATATGTAAATGGAAGCCTGGCCCTTCCCCAAATCCTGCTGCTTCCTGCAGTGGTTACTAGATAGATGCGGGTCTCGGGATAGAAAACCTTTCACTTTGGGCTTAGAACATTTGAACTCAGGTTTTCAAAGGGGTAAGGGTAATAGCCCCCAGGGAGCACTGTATTTCCAAAGTATAAGAGCCTTTTGAGTAAAAGATCAGATTTGTAAAACAAAACCAAGACCTCATGTAGCTCTGACAACCAGCTCTCCCCTGGCCTCTGTTCTCAGCTGCTCTGCTGTGGAAGGGGGCCCTAGAAAGTCATCTATTATCATCCTATCTGTTGTCTTTCTCTTCCCTGCATCAGATACCACTCCTTTTTATTTAGTTATTTTTTTAATCCTCACCCAAGGATATTTTTCCATTGATTTTTTTTTTTTTTTTTAGATAGAGTGGGAGGGAGGAACGAGGGAGAAAAAAAACATCGATGTGAGAGAGACACATCAATTGGCTGCCTCCTGCATGACCCCAACTGGGGCCAGGGATCAAACCCACAATCGAAGTATGTGCCCTTGGCCAGGAATCCAACCAGTGATTCTTTGGTTCGAGCGGCAACCCTCTAACTGCTGGGCCAAACTGGCCAGGGCGACACCACTCCTTTTTAAAAGTTAACTCTACCCCTTTAGTGAGGGCAAGACCTAAAGCCTGTGTCACTGTGAACCCCCGAGGAGTCGGGGATGAGGCTTTTTGATTAACTAATGTGTATCATGGGTAAAGCACAGGATTCGAAATGGGAAAGCTATATTCAAACTTAAGCTGATACTTAGACCACACATTTATCTCATTTTTGTCAATGGACTTGTTCAGATATTAGGTAGCAAATTACATTTTTTGAAACATGTATGTTGTGAAACAGATGAGACATTCATAGTTGGATCAGTGCCAACTATTAATAATTGAAGCCTTGTCAAAGGTAAGTACACAGCCGGACTAAGGCCATATGTATACTCTCAGGTCTTGGATAAAAAAGGGATATTTCTAGACAACTGGTATGTTCACAGATGATCAGTTTCAGTCTTTTCCTCTTTCACAGGGACTGCTCTGATTTTGCCTGGTGGAGTTGCCTGTGCCAACCCAGCACACTTGGTACTATGTAAAGCCAATTCTTCCCGTTTGGGTGCATGAGGCAGTAGGCTGGAGACCTGAACTGCACGGCACTAGGATGGGGTATGTTTCGCATTCCCCCCAATAAAACAACAGAAGTGAATTCCTCTGCCTGCTGTTCATTAACGTAGAAAAGTGGACATTTTTTTAAAAAGACAAGTTTTTATTATCTCCTATTTAATTATTTGAAAGGCAAAGGCCACATATCCTTACACGTTTGCCTTTCTTTGTGGTAGTGGAAAGTAGTCTCAACTACAAGGAGAAGAAGAAGGTCTCTAGCGGCACAGGTGAGACGGTCAGGGATGTGAATGGTCTGCTGGAAGAAGTTAGTCCTAACAGTGTTCAATCTTTCTGTCTCAAAATTTTTGTTTTCCCAAATCTGGCAGATTATTGTACATCTAATTTCATAAATAGGGAAAGAGGCTGGGCAAGGGTGGAAAGATCCTGCCTGGGTGATACAAAGAGTCAGTATCAGAACCTGGGCTGCTCCGGACAGGAGTGAGCACATCCCGAGGGATCCAACACCCAGGTAGCGCTTTGATCTTTCTGAGACATTGCAAAGCACTGCCCTGATCCTTGACTTCAGAAAAGTCGTGGCCCAGAGCATACTTTCTGTGGGAGTAAAAAAAACTCCACATGCTGAAAGCTATTACTATTTCATAAGCATTAAATTATGTAAATTCAGATATGTTTTGTCAACATTATATACAGGGCTATTTAAGAGGCCAAAAACTAGTGCAAGATGGTAAATGGGCTATAGGTTACCCAAGTAGCTAGTTGTGTCAAGTCTGTCACCTGTTATCCTCAGAGGACTTGAGCCAGTTTCCAAAACACTGCTTTGTCACAAATAGTAATATGAAGTGCAAATACTGGAAGTCTGTGCTTGTAATAGCCTCAAAGCAAGAACTTAGTTACACACATTTAACACGTTTACAAATGTCTGTCGCACAATCCTTTTATAAAGAAGAATTGGATTGCGGGAACATGAGCTATTTTCATGCAAGGATAAAAAGCTTGACTTCACAGATGTTTTAGTTACAAATCCCTCTTGTCTAGAAAGAGTAAAAGGGCCTAATTTGTTAATATCAGGCAGCCTCTTATGTTTATTACTCCTCAATTTATGTAATCCACCCTCCAGAAGGATCAGGTCTAACACACAGCTGTCTGTCAATAATTACGACTCATAGATCCAAGTTAATGGAATTAGACTGTGGGAAAATAGATCTTTGAGACTGGATTAATTTTTTAAATAAACAGCAAAGAATTACTCAATATGGCTTGGAAATCACTGTTTTCCTCCTCTAAAAAGTATATGAAAATGTTTACCACAAACATCCATAATATTTATCCTTAGAAAATCTTTACCTCAAACTGGCATTTTTATGTACACATTTGTATAGGAATAGCTGCCTATTTCCAGTTTGCTTTTTGATAAGTGGTCTCTAAATAGAAGGAGGGAAAATGGGTCCTGATATTCCTAAGAATCTTTGGTAAAATCATGGAGGCTAGCCCTGGCCAGTGTGGGTAAGTGGTTGGAGCATCGATTCCTGGTCAAGGGTACGTACCTGGGTTGCAGGCCGGGCCAGGAAGGCAACCAGTAAGTGTTTCTCTCTCTCTCTACTCCCCCCGTTCTACTCTCTCTAAAGATCAATGGGAAAAAATGTCCTTGGGTAGGATTAAAAAAAAAAAAAATCACCAAGGCTAAACTTGGACAGATGGGTAAAATAAGGGAGGGATTACAATAGTTAAGCCCCTCAAATTTTTAATGTTTTTAGATACCTTCCATTTTTACTTCAGTGTTTTAAACCTTAGCTTCATAGCTCAAAAGCCCAGTGCTATGAACTACCAAAAAAACCCCAAAACCAGTCGGTGTGTCTTAAGCAAAGAATACAAAGATGACAAAATTAAAGTGACAATTTCCAATTCTAGTTCATTTCAAATGCACAAAATTACACTGTTTCAGGAATCTAAAAACAGTACAGCCAGGTTCTGTGGTCTTCTGAGCTTCATCAAGCTTGCAACTCGCTATTAAAGGGAGGAGAGGGGGGCCTTCAAACTCTGAGCAAGGAATGGATGCCGGCTCTCCCAGCCCTCTCTGACATCTGCCCTTGAGCCAGATGCCCTGCCATTGTGTTCAAAGTCAAATGGCGACAATCAGAACAGCGTGACCCACAGGAAGGCAGCTGGCCTATCCTTTTCCCACATGTGCAGTCTCATTCTCAGCAGAATCACAAGAGGAGCTGCAGAAATTCACCACAGTAGCATGACACAGGGTTTCAGCACACAACCTTATTACTGCTTACTTTAGAAAGAAAAATGTGTACTTGCAAAAGTTAGGATATAGAGGTCAAGCACTACACTTTATTGAGAGGCAGGGGTGCAAAATCATTTTTGTCTCATTCTGGATTGTTCCTTGACCTCCCCCATTTCCCCCCAAACAAAACACCTCTCCCACCCCCTCATACAATCCACCCTCCCACTGTGATGCAGCTATGAATGGTGCCCACACCAATATCAGGGAGCTGGAAGTCCCACCTTGCATTTTTCTTTACCTCAAGGTTATTAAGATGACTGTAGGGTCCCCTATAAGGAAGAAAATGTATAGTTAATGCAAAACTCTAAATATCTGTTTCCCAATGTGGAAGATGGAAAGTGAAAAAAATGAAATTTATTTATCCACAAAGTCTGCAAGTCCTGTGTTTTGTCAGCAGGCGGCAGCATTGTCTGTGAGTTGGCTATTTCCAGTGGGGAACCACAACCTCCTCCCTCTGACAAATGCCCTCTGGTCACCTCCCAGCCCCTCCCACCCTACACACACCCCAAAAAAGAATTTCCCCAGGGTCTAAGAGTTGACAAAAGAACTTTTATGTCACCAAAAAGATGAAATGGAATTTTAAAACATCAGTGAAACTACTCCAGGGAACCTAGGTGCTGAGCACTTTGTTTTCGGAGCAAGTTAATAGATGCAACCTCCGTACAGATTCCAGGGTTGCCAGGCAGCTCTCTGCTTTTGGTGGCCATGAGTATGAAACAACACCCTCTCATTTTTCTTAAAGACCATCTCATACAAATCCTGATAAATTGTCATATTTGGAAAGTATGAGAGAACAAATGGGGAGATTTTAATCATATGTGGAGATGCCAATTTTAACAGCAAGAGCAAAAGTGCTAGATTACTACAAAAAAAATAGAAAATGCATTGTCTTTGATGAAAAATTCTAGAGATCTTTTGAGAAAAAAACATTTAAAAATTTTTAAGAGTACCTATTTATTATTTTTTTAATCCTCGCCTGAGGATATTTTTTCCATTTATTTTTAGATAGTGTGGAGGCAAGGGATGGAAGGAGGGAGAGAAACATTGATGTGAGAGGGACACATCGACTGCTTGCTTCCCGCATGACCCCAACCAGGGTACGGCCCTTGGCCGGAATCGAACTCGCGACTCACTGGTCCATGGGCTGATGCTCTAACCACTTAGAAAACCAGCCAGGGCCCTATTTTTTATTATTTAAAGCAGTATCTTTATTGACCAGATGAAGACATCTTTATAAAATCTAAAGGTATCACCCTGGCTGGTTTTGCTCAGTGGTTAGAGCATCAGCCCACGGACCAATGGGTTGTGGGTTTGATACCAGTCAAGGGCAGATACCTTGGCCGTGGTTCATCTCCGGCCCTGGTCGGGGTCATTTGGGAAGCAACCGGTCGATGTGTCCCTCTCAGATATTTCTCTCTCCTTCCCTCCCTCCCACTCTATCGGAAGATAAATAGAAAAATATCCTCATGTGAGGGTTAAAAAACATAAAACCTAAAGGTGCCTATGAAACTGAAAGTGATTAAGGGCCCTGATAAAGAAGTAAGGTTGCTCATGTCCCTCAAGTTCTTCTACGGAACACAGGCTTTAGGAAAAGGTAGCCAAAATGAAAGACCAAGAACATCTGAGCCAACTTGGCCAGATTCCATAAAACACAATGAAGGCAGGAAAGGCCTTGGGGCTCTTGCCCTCTTGAAGCTCAAAAGTCTGGCCTCAGGGAATCAGAGCAGGAGTTGAAGGGCAGTTGGTGCAAACCTGAAATGCAGATGTGGAAGATGTGCGGCGGAATCCCCTATGGCTACTCCTACCCAGCTGTGTTAGCTGGGGGAGGTGCAGCGCATTAGCTCCATGATACAAAGGTCACTTTTGGTTAGAGAAGGAGAGAAAAGAAAGGGAAAGCTGGAACTCAAGGCCCAGGCATGAAGCAGGTTACCATTCCTGGCACCAACCCCGAAGGTCTTCTAAAAGCAGACAATTTCCCTGGGTGCTTTGTGGACACCCTAGCTGAACTAGGCCACTGTTAGGGACCCTGCCGAATGAATACAGATTTGGGGAAAACAACGCGAATGAAGAAAAGAGGAGGCAGGGGAAAGAAAAGCAACCAGGCGTCTATCACCCCACACAGAGCCGAGGAGGACGCACAGGGCAGGCTGAGGAGCCAGACGATGGAGACACAGCACCTGAACTTAAGTGAGGGAGAGCAGGAACATTCATGACCATCAGCTCCTAAAAGTGGTCCTCAGGGTGGACCTGCTCATTGATGTGCAGGCTCCAAGAAGACCCCCTCCCTCTTGGGCTGGACATGTTTTCACGAAGACAAGCCCTCTTCCTTTGGTTGTCTGAATCTGACCCGAGACAACCATTGCAACCAGCAGGCTGCTAGGCTGGCATCCCTCATACGGGGCACCGGTGGCCTCGACACCGCCCCCCACCCCCCAACTCGGGCTTCCACACGCCATCCTGGCCCAGAAGGTGTAGCTGGCGGCTCTCAGCATCCCACGGAGACGGGGTTCTATTTCGGTGCAGTTCCCCAGAGCCTCACCCGAGAGCAGTCGCAAACCCACACAGCCTGAATGCTTGTTTGCAGACTGGGCAGCCACTGTCTGTCCCCAGTCCCTCCCGGACAAAAATAAAGGTGTCCACACAGGCATCATTTGCTCTTTGAAATAGTCAGCATGGCCACTCCGGGTTCACCATCTCCCGCTGCCCGTCGGTGGAGACCGAAGAGGGGCACGCGGAGGGCGGGGGAGGGGGGGGTGGTCCAGGTGCCAGGACGCACACAGCCTCCCGGCCTCCACACACCATCAGGCAGGCATCGCGAGTACCTTGCCATCCTCCCTGATCTGGGCCTTCCACTTGATGGCCCAGGATTCAAGCCCCCGGGGCCACTCCCGAGCCCGTCAGTTCCCACGCCTGTGTCCAGTCGCACGCACCTGCCGGGGACTCGCGGAGCAACTAAGGCACTCGAGTGAAGTGGCGGCCGATACCGTCCCGCCCCCACCAGTGCCCCAAACCAGCCCGCTAGTGCTAAGCTACCCCTCACTTGCAGCTCAACAGCTTTTCTCCTTTAAGCCCCTGATAATGGTTTTACTAAAATCCCCTTTTGATGGAAAAAAATCCCAGCTGGACATTTCAGGCCTCTGCACAATGTACAAGTCTGCAGGTCCTCTCCCTTCCTCACAAAGGCCTCTAATCAAGTGGAAAATGTGCTGGAGGCCAGAGGTTTGGGTCTGCAATTATTTTTTAAGGGATTACTAAAAAAGAATA